AAGGAAATCTGGCTTACTAGCTGTTGCAAATATAAGGGTATGAAACTGGTGGAAAACTCAATAGAAAGATCAATGAATAATACAAGCTGAAAAAATAAATCCTAGCATATATGAGAATTTATGTATGTTAAAAGTATAATGGCGATAATCATAAGGAAATAGTTATTTGACAAATGGTACTCAAATTAAAGACCGTCTAGGGGAAAATATAAGCTATAGCTCTACTTCATACTAGTCACAAAATGAATTTTTGATGGACTGACAAGTTAAATATTTTTAAAACTATTTAAAAACTAGATTATTTATCTAACAGAATGGGAAATGTCTTTTCAAGTGTAAAAGCAATAGAAGAAATTATCATGACCTGAAGTGGGTTTGGAAATCAATTTGACCAATAAAAATGTAAAACCAATCTATATCAAAAGCATCATCAAAAAGTTAAAAACAATCTGGGTAAAACATTTACTGCAAAAGTGATAAAGGATTAAGACTCTTTATATATGTAAAACTCATACAAATCAACAAGGGAAACACCCATACATCAAAACTCAGCAGAAACCATGAGTTGACAATCTATAGAATAAAATATATAAATAGTTAATAAACTTAAGTAATAACCATATTATGCATATGTTCCAAATTATCTATAATGATATTTGAAAGAAAAAAAAACTGACACAACAGGCAAGGGGGAAAAAAAAGAGAAGCGACTAGTGATACGTGAGGTGCGCTGGAGGTACTAGGGGGTGAGGGGAGGTCTGGTTACACTGCAACACAGTCCTTTATTCTATCCCTTAGATTTTCAAAAGGAAATCTTATTTGTTAATATCTGGTGAGGCAGACTAGTTTACATTTTGGGACTGGGTAGGTTCCCTAAGGTGATTGAGACATGTAACGTTTTTCCAAGTTAGTAGCAGGATAATAAGCGCAAAACCATCTCCAAGGATATACCTGTTTTATTCAAAACTAAGTAACGAAAATAATTCTGTGGCTTGGATGACAAAGGCACTAGTAGATAGCTCTTCAGGAAAGTACCATTCACATCAGCCAAATGAGTCAAAAGAAAATGGCTTGGATTCAGCAAGATATATAATAGCACTGCATGTACAGACACAATACAACAAACAACTCTGATGTTGCTATATAAGCATTCACAGAGAAGAAGAGCCAAGAGCAAGGAGAATAAGAGGCCTTCAGAGGCAGAAGGCTGCCAGGCTGGAATTCTAGGAGTTGGAGATACTAGAGATCAAAAGAACAATAAGCCCAAGGTTGCTGTGGTAGTGGGCCAGGTAGAAACCCCTTCTTATTTTGGCTCCACCCTCTGGATGCATGCTTTCCACTGAGACAGCCTTTCCAGCAACAGGCTGCAGCAGCAGGACTTAGCAAGTCACATGTCAACTGAGATACATATAAATGAAGCATTCCAGGAGACAGACATAACACTGTGGTAGTATCATTCCCTCTTGTAAAGTGTACCATGGGAACCGTGTGGAGAATCCTGTCCCTTCCCCACCCCAATGGGAGTTGCCAGCCTTTGCCCAGCACAGGACATGCAGCCTGCTGCACACGTCATACCCCTTTCCTATAGTGACTGGGCATGCCTCCAGGAAGAACATGCTGGCCCCTGCTTAGCTAGAAAGCTGGCAAACTCATGTGTGGCTGGCACAACAAAGGGCCCATAGAGAAAGCAAAGGACATAGGTATACAATGCTAGTCAGCAAACCCACAGAAACACACTGGCATAAAACCATAGCAGTGTTCATTCATGTATACTGAGACTTATGGAATTTTAAATATGATGCTTTCATACTTTTAACGATTTAAACAATAATTGGATAGAAAATACTCATTTCAACAACACGAGGTAGTGATTAGCAACATGGGCTTTGGAGTGAGAGAGACTTTGTATCAAATCCTACATATACCACATGCAAAACACATTCAGTCACTTAAATTTTCTGAGCCTCAATTCTGTTGCCCAACCTACTATTAATAGTACCAGTACTATTAGTACTTCCCCAGTTTTCTTAGAAGGATTAAATAAAATAATCAATGTTAAGTGTTTCCCACCACGCCCAGGCACACAGTAAACCTGATTATGTTATGATCACTGGCAAGAAAAGGAAGATTAGGAATCTTGACTCTGCCACTAAGTAATCTTAGCCAAGTTATGTAATATTTCTTGGTTCCCTATTGCTCTATTTGTAGTATGGATAATGTATTCCCTATCCCCTAACACTATGTTAAGAATTAGATGAGAAAATTTAAAGCAGAGTACTTTGAAAATAGTAAAGAACAATACTAATGTAAAATGGAATTATTTTAAGGGCTTTCTACATTTTAAAATACTGATTTTTAACTCGACATGGTATTTCCACACAACGGAATAATATGCACCCATTAAAAATGGTGTGCATCAGCCAGCCGTGGTAGCTCGTGACTGTAATCTCAGCACTTTGGGAGGCTGAGGCAGGAGGATCACTAGAGGCTAAAAGTTTCAGCCCAGCTTTCCATGCCGATAGCGCTCATGCAAATATGGTGAACGTTCCTAAAACCCGCCGGACTTTCTGTAAGAAGTGTGGCAAGCACCAACCCCACTAAGTGACACAATACAAGAAGGACAAGGATCCTCTGTGTGCCCAGGGAAAGCAGCGTTATGACAGGAAGCAGAGTGGCTATGGTGGGCAAACTAAGCCGATTTTCCAGAAAAAGGCTAAAACTACAAAGAAGATTGTGCCAAGGCTTGAGTGCGTTAAGCCCAACTGCAGATCTGAGAGAATGCTGGCTATTAAAAGATGCAAGAATTTTGAACTGGTAGAAGATAAGAAGAGAAAGAGCCAAGTGATCCAGTTATAAGTGTCATCTTTTCTTTTATGAAGACAATAAAATCTTGAGTTTATTTTAAAAAAAAGTTTCAGAACAGTATAGACAACATAATGAGACCCCGTCTCTACAATAATAATAATCATAATAATTAGGCATAGTGCTGCATGTGTATAGTACCAGCTAGTTGAGAGGCTGAGGTGGGAGGATCACTTAAGTCCAGCCAGCCAAGGCTCATATGAACTGTGAATGCATGACTGCACTCCAACCTGGGCAAGAGAGCAAGATGTGGTCTCGAAAACAAAGAAAATAATGTTGTGTATCATAAAAACTTGGATGCCTCTCCAGGGAATTATGCTAAGTGATTTTTAAAAAGTCAACCCAAAGGTAATATAACTATATTTACACAAGATTCATAAAATAGCAAAAATTATATATATGAAGTATAGATTCATGGTTGCCAGGGATCAGGGATGGGGTTCAGATATATAGATGGTGGGTATGGCTATAAAAGAATGACAGAAGCTGGGCACAGTGGCTCACACCTGTAATCCTAGCACTTTGGGAGGCCAAGGTGGGTGAATTGCTTGAGCTCAGGAGTTCGAGACCAGACTGGGCAAGACGGTGAAACCCCATTTCTACAAAAAAATAAGTTAAAAAATTAGCTGGGCATGGTGGTGTGTGCCTGTAGTCCCAGCTACTCGGGAGGCTGACACAGGAGAATCACTTGAACTCAGGAGACAGAGGTTCCAGTGAGCCGACATCAGGCCACTGCACTCCAGCTTGGATGACAGAGCAAGACTCCGTCTCCAAAAACAAAAAACAAAAAAAAAGAATGACAGAAGAGATCCGGATGGTGATGGAATTGTTCTGCTTTATCAGACTGTATCAATGTAAACATCCTAGCAGTGATATTGTAGTATAGTTTTGCCAGAGGTTACCAGTGAAGGAAGCTACGTAAAGGGTACGTGGGATTTCTCTGTGTTTTTTCCTGTATTATTTTTTCTACATTATTATATTTAATAGACAACAGGTCTTTAATAAATTCATGTGATATCATATTATTAAAAAAAAACTATGCACGGATTTCAAAATTTTTTGCATCAAAATAGACTAATGCTACTTTTTTTTTTTTCTTTTTTTGAGACGAAGTCTCACACTGTCATCCAGGCTGGAGTGTAGTGGCCCTAACGTGGCTCATCGCAACCTCTGCCTCCCAGGTTCCAGCGATTCTCCTGCCTCAGCCTCCCAAGTAGCTGGGACTAGAGGCATGCACCACCATGCCCAGCTAATTTTTGTATTTTTTTTTTTTTTTTTTTTTTTTTAGCAAAGACTGGGTTTCACCATATTGACCAGGCTGGTTTTGAACTCCTGACCTCATGATCCACCCACCTCAGCCTCCCAAAGTGCTGGGATTACAGGCGTGAGCCACCACGCCTGGCCATGCTAACTTATTCTAACATGTCTGAACAGGATCTAGTTTGAAGCACTAAGAAGGATAAGACACCAGTTTGAAAAGAGCCCCTACCAGAACAACAAGAATTCTGCTAAAATTGAAGCAAGAACAACATCAAATTTATAGTGAAGCTTGGGTGGAAGGATGGTGGAATCATTTATGCTTTATGAAAAGTTTATAGAGACAATGCCTTGAAGAAATCAGCAGTTTACAGAATAACTCATTTTAAGAAAGGGCGAGAAGATGTCAACAACGAAGCCTGCAGCGGCAGACCACCTACATCAATTTGTATCTTATGCATGTCTTGATTGAAGAAGACCAATGATTAACAGCAGAAATGATAACCAACATCACAGGCATCTCAATTGCCTCAGCTTACACAATTCTAACTGAAAAAATAAAGATGAGCAAACTTTCTACATGATGGGTCCCAAAACAATTGCACCCAGATCAGCTGCAGATGAGAACAGAGCTTTCAATGGGAATTTTAAACAGCCGGGATAAAGATTCTGAAGCATGTCTTTGAAGAATTGTAACAGGAGATGGAACATGATCCTGAAGACAAAGCATAATCATAGCAATGTCTACCAAGAGATGAAAGTGGTCCCATCAAAGCAAAAGTGGACCAGTCAAGAACAAAGGTCATGGCGGCAAGTTTTGGGGATACTCAACACATTTTGCTTGTTGATTTTTTTGAGAATCAAAGGACGATAATACCTACCTATTATGACAGTGTTTTGCGAAAGTCAGCCAAAGCTTTAGTGAAAAAATGCCCAATAAAGCTTCACCCGGGAATACTTCTTGATCAGGAAAATGCTTCTGCTCATTCCTCTTATCAAACAAGGGCAATTCTGTGAAAGTCTCAATGAGAAATCATTAGTCAATCACCTCAAAGTCCTGATGTGGCTCCTTCTGACTTCTTTTTGTTTCTTAAACTATATATACACATATATCTTAAAGGGCCTCTTTATTTAATAATATAAAAAAGAATGTGCTGACACAGTTACATTCCCAGTACCCTCAGTTCTTTAGGGACAAATTAAATTGGCTGGTGTCTTAACGTTCCTGGAGCTTATGTTGAGAAATAAAATTTATATTTTTTATCTTTATCTTTAATTCCATTTTCTGTGAGCTTTTTGAAATCTCCTCACATTCTATACTTATCTCAAAATATAAAGTTTAATTTTATTTTTTATTCTGTTTTTTGAGGAGAAGTCACTATTGTTACCTAGGCTGAAGTGCAATGGCACAGTCTCCGCTCACCGCAACCTCCACCTCCTGGGTTCAAGCAATTTTCCTGCCTCGGCCTCCCAAGTAGCTGAAATTACAGGCACCCGCCACCACGCCCAGCTAATTTTTTGTATTTTTAGTAAAGAAAGGGTTTTTCACCATGATGGCTAGGCTGGTCTCGAAATCCTGACCTCAGGTGATCCACCTGCCTTGGCCTCCCAAAATGCTGGGAATACAGGCATGAGCCATCATACCCACCTAAAGTTTAATTTTAAAATGATGTGATGATCCAAAGGATTGCACTAGCTCCACAGCAATGGATCCTAACCAGATTGAAATGTCTGAAAGGACATACATAGAATTCAGAATCTGGATGGCAGGGAAGCTCAATGAGACTTCAGAGAAAGTTAAAACCCAAACGGAGAAAGCCAGTAAAATGATCCAAGAGTTGAAAGACAACATAGCCATTTTAAGAAAGAGCAAAACAGAACTGCTAGAATTGAAAAACTTGACTACAGAAGTTTCAAAATACAATTGGAAGCATTAACAACACATCAGACCAAGCTGAGGAAAGAATTTCAGAGCTCAATGGTCCTTCAAATTAACCCAAACAAGAATAGAGAAAAAAGAATTTTAAAACCTGAACAAAACCTTCAAGAAATATGGGATTATGTAATAAGACCAATCCCTAAGACTCACTGGCATTCCTGAGAAAGAAACACAGTAAGCAACTTGGAAAATATATTTAAGGATATAGTTCATGAAAATGTCTCCAATCTTGTTAGAGACGACAACTTGCAAATTAAAGAAACTCAGAGAACTGCAAGTTACTATATAAGATGACCATCCACAAGACACATAGTCATCAGACTTTCCAAGGTCAGTGAAAAAGAAAAAATCTTAAAGGCAGCTGGAGAAAAGGGTCAGATCACTTACAAAGGGAATCCCATCAGGCTAACAGCAGACTTCTTAGTAGAATCCTTACAAGCCAGAAGAGATTGGGGGCCTATTTTCAGCATCCTTAGAAAAAAGAAATTCCAAACAAGAATTTCATATCCCACCAAACTAAGCTTCATAAGAGAAGGAGAAATAAAATCTTTTCTAGACAAGCAAATGCTAAAAGAATTCATTACCACTAAATCAGTCTTACAATAGCTCCTTAAGGGAGTTCTAAACATAGAAACGAAACAATGATACCTACTACCACAAAAACACATGTATGTACATAGGCAATACATTCCAAAAAGCAACGACACAATCGAGACTACAAAGCAACCAACTAACAACATCATGAAAAGAACAAAACCTCATATATCAATATTAATGTCGAATGTAAACAGTCTAAATGTGCCACTGAAAGGGCACAGAGTGGTAAGATGGATAAAAACAACTAAGACCTAACTGTCTGCTATCTTCTAGAGAAGTTTCTCACATGTGACGACACCCATAGGCTCAAAGTAATGGGATAGAGAAAAATGTATCATGAAAATTAAAAACAAAAAAGAGCAGAGGTCAGTATTCTTATAACAAATAAAAAGACTACAAAGCCAAAATAGTAAAACACGACAAATAAAATTATTACAAAATGATAAAGGGTTTAATTCACCCAGAAGACTTAACTATCCTAAATATATATGCACCCAACATTGGAGCACCCAAATTCATAAAACACATAGTCTAAAACCTACAAAAAGACTTACACAGCCCACAATAATAATAGGGACTTCAATACTCCACTATGGTGTTAGACAGATCATCAAGGCAGAAAATGAACAAAGAAATTTGGACTTAAATTTGACAGTTGACCAACTGGACCTAATAGACATCTACAGAATACTCCACCCACCAATTACAGAATAAACATTCTTCTCATATGCACATGGAACATACTCTATGATCAAACATATGTGTGGCCATAAAATAAGTCTCAATAAATTAAAAAAGCTTGAAATCATTCCAAGTGTACTCTTGTTCCACAGTGTACTAAAAATAGAAATCAACACTAAGAAGAACTCTCAAAACCACACAATTACATGGAAATTAAACAACCTGTTTCTGAATGATTTAGGGATAAATCATGAAAATTAAGGCAGAAATAAAAAATTCTTCAAAATTAATAAAAACATAGGAACAACATATGAAAATCTCCAGGATCCAGCAAAAATAGTATTAAGATGAAAATTTATAGAGCTAAATGCATACATCAAAAAGTTAGAAAGACCTCAAGCTGACAAGCTAAAGTTGTACCTAGAGGAAGTAGAAAACAAGAACTAACTCCAAAGCAAGCAGAAGAAAAAAAAATAACTAAAACCAGAGCAGAACTGAATGAAACTGAGACCCAAAAAATCCATACCAAGGATCAATTAAAAAAAAAAGTTGGTTATTGGCCAGGTGCAGTGGCTCATGACTGTAATCCCAGCACTTTGGGAGGCTGAGGTGGGTGGATCACGAGGTCAAGAGATCAAGACCACCCTGGCCAACATGGTTAAACCCTGTCTCTAATAAAAATACAAAAATTAGCCAGGCGTGGTGGCGGGCACCCATAATCCCAGCTACTCAGGAGGCTGAGGCAGGAGAATTGCTTGAATCTGGGAGATGGAGGTTGCAATGAGCCGAGATTGCGCCACTGCACTCCATCCTGGGCGACAGAGCAAGACTCCATCTCAAAAAAAAAAAAAAAAAAAGGTGGTTTTTGAAAGGATAAACAAGATCTCTAAACTTATAGCTAGATCAACAAAGAAAAAAAGAGGGAAGACCCAAATAAGCACAATCAGAGATGACAAATGTGACATTACAACTAATCCCAAAGAAATACAAAAGAACCTCAGAGACTACTATGAACACTTCTATGCCCACAAATTAAAAAATCTAGAGAAAATGGATGGATTCCTGGAAACACACAACCCGCCAAGAATGAATCAGGAAGGAACTGAAACTGAACTACAAAACACTGAAAGAAATAATAGCTGATACAAACAAATGGAAAAATATTAGATTCTCATGGATAGAATAATCAACAACTTTCAAATGGCCATACTATCTGAAGCAATCTACAGATTTAGCACTATTCCTATCAGACTACCAAAGTCATTCATCACAGAATTAGAAAAAAACTATTCTAAAATTCATATATAACCAAAAAAGAGCCCAAATAGCCAAAGTAATCCTAAGCAAAAAGAACAAACCCAGAGGCACCACATTACCTGACTTCAAACTACACTACAAGGCTACAGTAACCAAAACAGCATGGTACTGGTACAAAAACAGATACAAAGACCAAAGGAATAGGATAGAGAACACAAAAATAAAGCCATACACCTACAACTATCTGATGTTCAGCAAAGTCAACAAAAGTAAACAATGGGGAAAGGACTCCCTATTAAATAAATGGCGCTGAGAAAACTGGCTGTCCATGTGCAGAAGAATGAAAGTGTACTCCTTCCCATCACAATATATAAAAATTAACTCAAGATGAATTAAACTTTTAAATGTAAGATCTCAAACTATAAAAATCCTAAAAGAAAACCCAGAAAATACCTTCTTGACGTTGGTCTTGGCAAGGAATTTATACCTAAGTCCTCAAAAGCAACTACAACAAAAACAAAAATTGATAAGTGGGATCTAATTAAACTAAAGAGTTTCTGCACAGCAAAAGAAACTATCAACATAGCAAAGAGATAAGATACAGAATGGGAAAAAAAATATTCACAAACTATGCATCTAACAAAGATCTAATAACCCAAATCTGTAAGAAACTTAAACAAATCAACAAGCAAAAAACAAATATCCTGACTAAAAAGTGGGCAAAGGGAGTGAACAGACACTTCCCAAAAGAAGGCATATAAGCAGCCAACAAGCATATGAAAAAAATCTCATTATCACTAATAGTTAGAGAATTGTAAATCAAAACCACAATGATGCCGGGTGTGGTGGCTCACAGCTGTAATCCCAGCACTTTGGGAGGCTGAGGCAGGTGGATCACCTGAGGTCAGGAGTTCAAGACCAGCCTGACCAACATGGTAAAATCCCATCTCTACCAAAAATATAAAAATTAGCCAGGCATGGTGACACATGCCTATAGTTCCAGCTACTTGGGAAGTTGAGGCAGGAGAATCACTTGAACCGAGGAAGAGGACTTTGCAGTGAGCTGAGATTAGGCCACTGTACTCCAGCCTGGCCATCAGAGCGAGATTCTGTCTCAAAGAACAACAACAACAACAAACCACTATGAGATATCACCTCATACCAATCAGAATGGCTATTATTAAAAACTTGAAAAATGACATGCTGGTGGGGCTGTCGAGAAAAAGGAATGCATAAACACTGCTGGTGGGAATGTAAATTAGTTTATATCCACTGTGGAAGGCAGCTTGGAGAGTTCTCAAAGAACTAAAAGTAGAACTACCATTCAGCCCAGTATCCCATTACTGGGTATATACCCAAAGGAAAGGAAATCATTCTACCAAAAAGATACATCTACCCATATATTCCTCGCAGCACTATTCACAATAGTAAAGACATGGAATCAACCTAGATGCCTATCAGCGGTGGATTGGATAAAGGAAATATGGTACGTGTACACCATGGAATAGTATGCAGCCATAAAATAATGAAATCCCTCCCTTCACAGC